GCTGGCCAGCAGCCCGCCGCCCAGCAGATGGCACCGCAGCAGGCGTCCCGTCCCCATCTGCCCCTCCTTGCCCCCCCTACCCTTCTCCTCCCCATCCGTCTCCTCCTCGTCCTTTCCCTCCTTCTCCTCCGTCCTCCTACCCTCCCCCCCCCTTATCCTCGTCCTTCACCCCTTCCCCCTCGTCCTCGTCCGCCTCCTCATCTTGTCCGCCGTTCCTCGTCCGCCTCCTCACCAACACCACCACCACCGTCATGATCTCGTCGCACGCAGCCATCATCGACCACCACCAGCAGCAGCATCATCATTATCCCCATCATCCTTATTGTCATCCTTGCCATCCGCCCCCGCCTATCGTACTACGCCTGCTCCTCCTGGTCCTCCTCCTTCTTCTCGCCTATCGTACTACGCCTGCTCCTCCTGGTCCTCCTCCTCCTCCTCCTCCTCCTCCCGTCCTCCCCCTTGCTGGTCATCATCATCATCCTCCTCCCCCCCGTCCCCCTGACCCCATGATCGACCTTCTTCTTGCCGTGCTCTTAATATTCTGGGAGGCGTTGGCAGATTATTCATGGCATCGGGAGGCCTTACAAAACGGGCGGAGGGAACGATATTAAAAGATGCGTCCCACTACCATGTTACGCACCACGTACAAGGTACTCGCTCGCCAATTCGATGCACGGTTGCAGCCCGGTAGGCTAGGCCAGGTAGGTTTCCGCCCGGGCCGCTCCGTAAGCGACGCTTGTGCTGTTTAGGGGGGATCTTTACATCAAAGCACGGGAGTGGCAGCTTCCGCCGTGGGTCGTTGGCACTGATATGGCGAGCGTTCTCGACAGACTGAGAAACCACGTGTTTTCTGGGCATTGTCGGAGCAGGATGCTCGGGTAGAGCACGTGCGGCTTGCATCCTACATCTGACCTGCCCAACGGAGAAGCGTCGATGGCAGCGCAGCATCTGACAGTACGCGCGGCGTCAAGAAAGGAGACGTGTTGTCAACAACGTTCTGTTACGCAAGTTGTTCAAGCATTGTGGCTTCGACGTTGGAGGCGCCTGGCGATTCTGCCGCAGAGTTCACATGCATGCTCGACATCTTGTTGGAAGAATTGTCAGCGTACGGCCTGACATCGAATTAAAATACGACGCAACATGTACAAACGACGTTGATGCGTCCAAGGTTTAGCCTCTCATTATGTATATTGTTTGTTGCTTGTTGCCTGTCATGACGTCCCAGTCGGGCTACGAATAATACATCGGCAAAGCGTTATGTGGTCTGCGTACAATAACAGCAATCGCATGGAATGCGCATGGGGCACCTTTCATCTGCAACAGACAAATACGTTTGAACACGTGTGTGTGTGTATCTATATACGTGTGTGGTTTTGTTTGAAGCTTCCAGGCGTCGTTTTTCCGCCCACTATTATCGATGGTCTTTAGACGACAGCAAATGGCAGCACAGCGCCGGCCAAAAGTTGCGTCGACGCGTTCAAGAAGTTGGTTCGTTGGCTTCGGCAAGCTTCCCGCCGAAAGTTGGGAGGAAGCGAAGCGACGTTGCGAGCACGCGTCTTGGTATCGCTCGGACGTGTGCATTTTTTCTCGGCGGGGATTATTAAGGAGCATCCTGGATCATCCTGCGAAACGGACCACGTTCGAAACCGAAAAAAGCAAAGGGAATGGACGTCCGAGCGACGGCAAGGTGTTGTGTTGCGGCGCTGGTGAAAGCGCGGCGCTGTCGAAGCACAGGCGGGCTCGAGGCGGGGCGACTCTGCACGAGAGGTCGGGGGCAGAGCGGAGGGCGGCGGCCGCAGAAGGGAGGGGGGGGGGTCTTGGCATCGCTCGGACGTGTGCATTTTTCCTCGGCGAGAACCATCGAGGACCATCCTGGACCATCGAGCAAAAAAAACACGCACGAAACCGAAAAACGCACGGGAAATGGACGTCCGAGCGACGGCAAGGGGTAGGGGGCACTCAGCCCGCGGAGGTCTTCGCGGGCAGTGCAGCGGCCTGCTGAAAAGTAGCACGATCAGTTGCTCACAGTGCCCTACCCGCCAGTCCTCTCGCACGTGCGCGCCTGCTTGCCGTAGTGTCACACGCCCTTCGTCTGCGTTCGGGGGAGGGGGGGGGCGAACTTGAGTGACTGAGGGGAGGCCGAGGGAGACGCAACGAATCCGTGGGTGGCTTTGGGTCGTTCTGGGACGTCCCGTGTGCAGCGGGCAGTCGGCAGCCCTGGAAAACTCCTAGGAGGGCTCCGGGAGCTTTGAGAGGCGCTCAGGGCATTAGGAGGTTCTGGGAGATCTCACGGTGCCGCGGGAGGCTTTGGGAGACCTCGCACAGCTTTGGGAGCCTCCTGGGAGCATGTTGAAAATGATCGTGGCCTTGGGGACGCGGACAGGTGGCGTTTGACAAAGGGTTCGTGATTTTGGAAGCGCGGACCCATGCATGTTGCAAGGGGTCTTGGTTGGCCGTTACGAGGTGACTCAGGCCACACAACGAGTGATTTAGGCTATGTGGTCAAAAAAGGGTCTTGGTCTTGCAAGTTCGGAACCATCGCATCTCATGTTTCGGAGGGCCGTGACTTTTGGAGCGGGAACCGATCGCGTTTTACAAAGGATCGTGGAGTTCGGATCCCTTGTCTTGGCGGACAACCGTAGTCGTGGGAACGCGGACCCATCGCTTGTACACGGAATCGTCGATTTAGGAGAAAAGATACATTCTGATGTGCGCGGGATCGTGGCCTTGCGAGAGCGGGTTGATCGCATTGATGGTTTGGCGAGCGTGGTACGATGGTTGGTCGTGTTGGGGGCGTCGACCCTTGATTGTAATGGCCTCTGGCCAGTGCCGCCGACCTGGGGGGCTCCAGATTCGGTGATCTTCGCGGCTCTGTGGCTTCCTCCTTCGATTCTTCCGGTCCTTTTTCTTCTCCTCCGGGGGGGGGGCCTGTAACGGTCCTGGGTGGGGTCCAGGGAGGGTTCCGACGGGAGGGTCCTGGGGGCGGTAGCGGCTAGGTCTGAGGGGGGTCCCCGGGACCCCCCGAGACATCTTGGGGATGCGCAAATCATTAAGAAAACGCCAGATGGGGGACCGCCCCCCCCCCCCTCCCCTCCTTCCCTGGGGGGGGCGTCCAGATGCGCAAATCATAAAGAAAACGCCAGATGAGGGACCGCCCCCCCCCCCCTCCCCCTCCTTCCCTTGCCGAACCACCCCAGCGACCCCCCTCCAAGCAGAGCTGAATCTCTTGCTTAGGCTCAGAGCTGAAGATCTTGCTGAGGCTCCTTGTAGCTCACACGCCGGATCCGCGGATCCTGTGAATGAGTCATCGTGGGTCCTGGAGTGCGGGTACGGTTGTTCGTTTGAAGGCGCATGACCGTGGGAGCAAAGATCAATCGCAGTTACCAGCCCGCGTGGCCCTGGGCGTGCTGATGCGCAGCACGCTTGCGTACCCTTGAGGCCCCAAGACTTTGGACTAAACGTTTGTGGTATATTTGCGGTAGGGTTGCTGGTATTGCTATTGTTGTTGTCGTTGTTTTGTTGTGGTTCCTCGTGTTGTTCCCTCTATTGTCAGTATTAATATGAGTGTGTAGCCTCCGCGTCCCCTTAATCATCATCACCATCGTCAGTAGCAACATCGTCATCATAAGTATCATCATCATCATCATCATCATCATCATCATCATCATCATCATCATCATCATCATCGTCATCGTCATCGTCATCGTCATCATCATCATCATCATCATCATCATCATCATCATCACCAACTTCATCATCAGCATCATCATCAGCAGCAGCATCAGCATCATCATCATCCTCAGTATCCGCATCATCATCGTTATCGGCATCATCATCAGCATCCTCATCATCAGAATCCTCATCCTCAGCCTCAGCACCGTCATCATCATCATCATCAGCAGCATCATAATCATCATCAGCATCAACATCATCAGCATCACCATCAGCATCATCAGCATCATCATTTTCATCGGTATCATCGTCAGAATCAGCATCATCATCGTCATCATCAGCATCAGTATCGCCACCATGATCCGCATCATCAGCAGCATCATCAGCAGCATCATCATCACCACCAGCATCACCGTCATCAGTACCAGCACCAAAAGCCGCATCATCCTCATCATCATCATCATCAGCAGCATCACCATCAGCATCATCACAATCGTCATCAGCAGCAGCATCATCAGTGATGTCATCATCATGTTTCGTCAGATTGCTGATTATCCTATGTCATCCCCTGGCCGTCGTTGTCGTCGCCCTCCTCCCTCATCAGCCTCCTCCCATCCTCCTTTTCCTCCTCGTCCTCCTCCTCGTCTTACTCTTCATCCTCCTCGCCCTTCTCGTCTACATCCTCCCGCGCAAGAGGAGAAGGAGACGTAGGAGGAGGAGGAGGAGGAGGAGGAGGAGGAGGAAGAGGAGGAGAGGAGGAGGGTGAGGAGGAGGAGGAAGAGGAGGAAACGACAAGGAGGAAGTGGCCATGGTGGAGGTGGCAGAGCAGGACGAGGGATGAGAACAAGAGGAGAATGAGGAGTAGGAGGAGGAAGAGGGAAGAGGGAAGAGGGCGGAAGAACGTGGAAAGATGAGGAGGAGAAGGAGGAGGCGGAGGTGGCACGAGATGGGCGCGAGGCCTGCGCTTCCGCGGCATCAGCCCGCGGCCCGCACAGCTTTTGCAGCTGGGGCTGCAGCAAGCTCGGGACGCGGCTGCCCCCTGGTAGTTCGCGGCAGGCCATGGCAGGCGAAGTTGCGGGCAGCGAGCGCTCGCGCCGCCCAGCGCTGGTCAGCAGCAGAGGCTGCGGGCGAAACGCGTAGGCCAGGGCCTCGCACGGACACGGAGGCGCCTCTCCCGGCAGGGCGCGGAGGCCCCACGGGAAGGGACCGCGCGCCCCGCTGAGGTGGGCACGCCGCCCTCCACCCGCAAAGCGCCCCGCCGCCCTGGCCAGATCCGGCGCCGCAGCCGTGCTCGATGCCACAGGGGTGGGGCGGTGGAGGGCGTCCACCTGCGCGGCGGCGTGGCTTATGATGGGAGGAGGAGGAGGAGGAGGAGGAGCAGGAGCAGGAGCAGGAGGACGAGGATGGAGGGGGGAGGAGGAGGAGGAGGAGAGGAGGAGGAAGGATGAGGAGGAGGATGAGATGAGGAGGAGGAGGAGGAGAGGAGGGGGAGGAGGGGGAGGAGTGGGGAGGAGGGGGGAGGGAGGGGGGAGGAGGGGAGGAGAGGAGGAGCAGGAGGAGCTGAGGAGGAGGAGGAGGAGGAGGAGGAGGAGAGGAAGAGGAGGAGAGGAAAAGGAGGAGGAGGAGAGGAGGAGGAGGAGAGGAGGAGGAGGGGGCGCGGAGAGGAGGAAAGGAGGAGCAGCAGGAACGAGGATGAGGAGGGGGAGGAGGAGGGGAGGAGGAGGAGGGGAGGAGAGAGGAGGGGAGGGTGCGAGGAGGGGGAGAATAGGACAGCAGGACGAGGAGGAGGAGGGGGGAGGGGAGGATGAGGAGGAGGACAGGAGGAGGAGGAGGAGGTGGAGGAGGAAGAGGAGGAAGAGGAGTAAGAGGAGGAGGAAAAGGAGGAGGAGGATGAGGATGAGGGGAGGCGAGGAGGAGGAGAGAAGGAGGGCAGCAGTACGAGGAGGAGGAGGGGGGATGAGGAGGAGGAGGAGGAGGAGGAGAGGAGGAGGAAGAGGAGGAAGAGGAAGAAGAGGAGAGGAGGATGAGGAGGAGGAGGGGAGGAGGGGGAGGGAGGGGGAGGAGGGGGGAGGAGGGGGAGGAGGAGGAGGAGCAGGCGTAGCAGGAGGAAGGAGGAGGAGGGAAGCATGAGGATGAGGATGAGGCTGCGGGAGGAGGATGGGGCGTAGGAGGAGGATGAGAAGGCGGATTCAGGAGGAACGAGGAGGTCGGAGTCTGCGAGAAGTAGGAGGTAGAGGAGGAGGAGGAGGAGGAGAGGGAGGAGGATTAGGAGTCAGGAGGAGGACAGGAGGGTGTGGAGAGGACGAGGGGGTAAGTGGGTGGGAGGTGTTAGTAGGGGGGGAGGGGGAGACGGCGCAGGAGGCGCAGGAGGCAAGAGAAGAGGAGGTAGGACGGAGGGGGACAAGGGAGGACCTTCCACCTTGTCTTACCTCATCGTCTTTACTCCTTCGCCTCCCTATTCGTCCTCCCTTCACCCCTGCTCATCGTTCATCCGTGTTATTCCTTGCTTATTGTTCTTCTCATTCCTTCTCATTACTAGTCTTCGCATTCGTCTTAATAGTTGCACTCGTCGTCTTGTTGTTTGTCCTATGTTTGGTACCATTGTTATTACGTGGATTCCCTTTCCCTCGTCCTCCGGCTCCTCCTCCGCCTCCTCCAATGAAGAGCGATCACACCGTTTGAAGGGGGGAACTTGTTGGGGATGATCAAGGGTATCATAGTGCTTCGTCCTTTCAGGTGCGACGGTTATCTTGAATGATGCTCGCAAATACTCCGGGTACGGTTGCGCGAGGCCGACGATGAGCCCACAATGGTCCTGTAGCCCTCCTCCTCTTCGTCTTCCTCCTCATCTTCCTCCTTCGTCCCCATCGTCCTCCTCGCTGCACTGACCTTCGTTTCGATAGATGTTCGTCGATGCTCCCCATCGTCCCCCTCCTCCTCCTCCTACTCCTCCTCCTCCTCCTCCTCCTCCTCCTCTTCCTCCTCCTTCTCCTCCTCCCCATCTTCCTCGAGCCCTGCCATCCTCCCATCTTAATTCCGCCCTGCTCGCGGCGCCGCCGCAGCTGGTCCAGCCGGGAATGGCGCAGCAGGGCTTCCCCGCGCAGGCCTTGCCGGACGGTCCTGAGGTAAGGGGAGGGTCCTTCCCCTTCCACCTCATCCTCCTCCTTCTCCTCCTCCTTCTCCTCCTCCTCCTCCTCCTTGTCATCCTCCTCCTGCTCCTACTCCTCCGCCTGCTCCTCTCCGCCTCCTCCTCCTCCTCCTCCTCCTCCTCCTCCTCCTCCGCTTACTCCTCCTCTTACTCCTCCTCCTCCCTCCTCCTCCTCCACCTCCTCCTCCTCCTCCTCCTCCTCCTCATCCTCCACTCCCCATCCTCATCCTCATCCTCATCCCTCATGCCTCATCCTCATCTCATCCTCATCCTCATCCTCATCCTCCTCTTCCTCCTCCTCTTCCTCCTCCTCAGCCGTTTCGGCTCGGGCTGGCGAAAGTGTGTGCAAGCGCCCGAGCGTGCTCTCGCGTGTCTTCGAAACGGCACACAAGTGCGAGCCATATATATATATATATATATATATATATATACACAGGGCCCGCCGCGCATCCCATGTGGCAGTGCGTGCAGTGCGCCAAGAAGCCTGGCATCGCCTATGCGTGCTTCGCGTGAAGCGCCGTGGAAGTTGCCATCGGGGAAGTGGGCCAAGGGGCCCCCTCTTCGCGGCGGCGGCCAGGCCCCTCCTCGCGGCGGCCAGGCCGGGCCCCTCCTCGCGGCGGCGGGCAGGCGGAGGCGAGGAAGGAGGTCGACGACAAGCAACTGGAGTTCGCCAAGTACGTCCTGGAGCTCCAGAAACACAAGTACGGGGAGGCCCGGACCGCCTGGGCCGCACGGGCCGCTGGCCCCGCCGCTGCCGCTGCGGCCGGCGCTCGCTCGCGCCGCCCGCCCGGCCCCCCGGGCTGGCCGCTCCGGCCCGGCCGCCGCCGCCGCCGCCTGCGGTGGCGCGGCCCTGGGCGCCGCCGCGGCCGCAGGACCAGCCGCAGCTCCTGGAGTGCGCGGCAATCGTCGACCAGGCGGAGGTGGCCAAGAGCACGGACGGGAACTTGGGCGTGTGCCAGATCCTCATGCGCCTCTCCGACACGGGGCGGAAGCTCGAGCGTGCGCAGGGCCGCATCGACGCCATCGAGTTCAAGGCGGCCGAGGTGCAGAAGCGCCTTGAGGATGAGGAGGCCATCCTTAGGACCACTGTGGCAAGAAGAAGGAGCTGGAGGAGGCTCGGGACCAGGCGCAGCTGCGCGTGGCGAGCGCAATGCTCCAGGCGATCCCAGCAGGGGCGGCCCGTGGGCGCGCGATCCGAGGCGCGCTCGCGAAGACCGTCGATGCCGGGGGGCTCAACGAGCACACCGAGGCCAGTCTCAAGGCCGAGGTGGAGGCGGCCGTCGAGGTGCTGACCACGCTCATGGAGCGGGTGGCGGCCCAGCCCCCACCCCCGCCGCCCGCGGCACTGGCCGCGGCCTCAGCGACTGCAAGCGCTGGGGCGCCTGCTGTTGGCAGTGGCGCTGCTGATGCGCCCATGGACCCTGCAGAGGAGCCAGTTGCACCCGACCCTACCGACGACGAGCAGGAGTTCTGGGCCAGCATCGGCCTGGGTGCAGCAGCCGCCGCAGAGGGCGCCGAAGGGCGCGATGACTTGCTGGCCTGGCGCAAGCGGGCCTGGGAGGCCACCAGCGCTGCGCACAAGAAGGCGCGCACGACGCGTTCCTACCGCTGCAGGAGGCGCGCGACGGCGAGGAGGACGCGTTCAAAATGCTGGCGCAGCTCGGGCAGGACCCTCTCAGGGCGCATTGCGATTGCAAGGACACTGTGAGGTGTGCACGCGACGAGCCTTTCGCCATGCGCGAGGCCAACGTGCGGCGGCACCTCTGGTCAGCGTGGTGATCCGAGATGGGCGACCGGGAGGTGGAGGCCGTGAAGGTCAAGGCGCACCTCGGGGTGAACGCCACGACGAGCCGCCTGGCGCGCCGTGGAACCCGGCTGCGGGGGGCCCCCAGGAGTCACGCCTCTTCGCCGCTGCGCGCAGGCGCCGAGCGAGGCAGCTGGCGCGATGGCTGGGGGACCTCCACGCGCACCTGCAGGGAAGAGAAGTCAACGATTCCGTGGGCTTGGGCGCGGACGCACGGGACGGCGAGGAGAAGCACGATGAGGACCAGCACGGCGCCGAGGGCGGCCCAGCGACCAGCAGACGGCCCCCACAGTGTCACGGATTCGGTGCGCCCGAGCCCCTCCAGGCGACTCCGGGTGCACCGGGCGACCAGGCCAGAGGAGCGGCAGACAGCGGCGTGGAGGTGCACCACGCCCTTGCAGCGCCATGGCACTTGAGGGGCCACAGCATTTTCGCAGGACCTTGCGACGACGAGGACGCGGTGCTCTTCTGCACGCAATGCGGTGCCAACGCGGAGGTGCCGCGGAAGAGCCAGGGCAGCTTGATGGATCCGTGCCACGGCCCCGAGGCCGCCGGACTAGCAGAGGCGCGCTGGCGGCTGCGAGCTGGCCTGCACCCGCACCTTCGGGGGCAGAGACAGCGGCACGGGCAGCCTCGAGGTCTCACAGACGCCGAGCGGAGGATCTGGCGTCCAGTGCTGGCGCCCGACGCTGGCGAGGAAGAGCAAGGAGGTTGGGACCGGGTTACGGGCTTCGCTGGCGGCATCTTCACATCTACGACGTCGCGCGGTTGCACGGACTCGTCAGCCCAGCCGAGGCGGTGGCCTGGGTCATCATCATAATCCTCGTCCTTCTTTTTTTTTGACGTTCGCCCAACAGCCTGATCCTCCTCCTCCTTTCCACCTCCTCCTCCTCCCCCTCCTCATCATCATCAGCAGCAGCAGCGATAGATCATCGATCATCATACGAATCGTAATAATGATATGGATACTAGTATGGATCGATAAACGCATCGTTAGAAAATACGAATAACAGCAATAACAACATCATAAACAACAGCAATAGCAACAACAACAACAACAATAACAACGATGATGATCAGACGAATTTCAGAATAATGGTACGACTCCCAGCAATAACATAAGTATGAATACTAGTACTGAAAATGTGAAGCTACCTATAGTACTTCTAAGAATAGGATTTAAAGTAAAAATAGCAAGACTAGTAGTAGTAGAATAGTAGGAGTAGTAGTAGTAGTAGTAGTAGTAGTAGTAGTAGTAGTGGCAATAATCATACGAAGACTACTACTAGTAGTTGTACTACTTCTTCGTTTTGTACTACTACTACTACTACTACTACCACTACTACTACTACTACTAGTACTACTACTACTACTACTACTACTACTACTACTACTAGTACTACTACTACTACT